CCTGGGAATAGTAATCAGGAGTCCTCACATTCCTCTGTTCTGATCAGAAGAAAATGTTCACAAATGTAATTAAATGTTTAGCCAGCTCTATCTGTAATCGTTTTTTTCTGTACTCTTCCACAAAATTGCCCTTTGAAAAAAAAATCCTCATACACAATACACACAGGAACTGTCACAAACAGGTTAATGTATCTAAGAAGGGGAAAAAAGGAATATCCTTTAGTCATAAAATCACCTGGAAACGAAGGCTCTTATCTAGCTCATGAATATCTGTCTATGCTTGAATCAAATGATGAATACGCTTCTCTGTAAAGACCTGAATGATTCTCTCTAACATTATTATGTATGTCTTTGGTACTACTCATCTTGTATGAAAATTATGTTCAAGATATTGTTCTGTATCACTCTGACAGGCTACAATATCAAGAATTACAGTAGAATAGGGAGGATTTATAACTATTAACCATTCTGTACATTTATTAATTTTCAAAACTTGGAGTTGAAGTTGTTTGCTAAACAACAGTCTTGTCCCCAGAAGGAGATTTAAAAACATATTCAAAAAATCCTGATGCTAGAAACTCTGAATGAGACGCATCAATATATACAAAGGCCTCACTTCTAAGGTACTTGTATTCTTCTTTGAACAGAACAGCAAAGATATTTTACACAGATGGTTAACTAAATCCCTTTTACTGGGTTAAATTCAGTATGCTTCTACTGAAATAAAAATGTGAAGGAAAAAAAAAATGTAAAAAAGTACATACCAAAAAAAAAAAGTAAACTTTGCAGTGGGTCAGTAGTCCGTATAACTTTTGCCTTCACTCCTCGCATTTTTATCCACAAATAAAAATCTTGTCGTTAATCCTTTTCCCCCTTGAAGTAATTAACTTTAGCAGGATCAGAAATGGGATGTAGTTTTTTACTTCTAAAATAAGCACAGAAACACCTGAATCCTGTGTGTAACTTAAAGTTTTAAGGTGATCTGTGCAACTATTCCCAAATACTATTTTATATATCTCAAATGACATTTATTTCAAATAAACAAAAACAAATTACTTTAATAGGACTACTTGAACAAATAAGGCGGAGAATTTGGCTCAATATGTAATCTATATCTGTTGAAATGAGCAGCTATTACTGTTGATTAATGGCTAAAAGCTATTGAAATACTGTGCACTTTTAAAGTCAATGAAAAGAAACGTATTTCTCTGTGGATTTCTCACTTATATTAAAAAGGAAAACCCATTATACTAGTATGTCTAAAGCTACGACTTGGTTAAGTACATTCATTTTTTTTAAGGTACCTGAACAGTTAACCTAATGCTCAACAGCCATACAGTATAACCAAGGGAGTCAAAACTCTACGTAATTACCAGAAAACACATATTATATAATTTGTATTTAAACATTTATTAACATTATTAAAGTAGGGATAAAGAGTATCTATGGAAGCCAGTTGGAAAACAATTTAGTTTTTTATTTTACAGGTTTTTTAATTATAAATATCTTATTCAAACTAGTTTAAGTGATGTTAATGCTGAATAAATCACTTGCTAACAATGCTTATGGTCCCACTGAATGGCTTTCAAAGCCAGAGGTGTTTGCTGGAATGAAGAAACAGTTTATAACTTTGACATCAATAATTGCTTAATTATGTAACCATAAAAGGGGACATTGGACTGTGGGATGATGTGTTTCTGGATGTTGGATATTCAATGTGTCAATACAAATTGCTAGTGTTGTGATATCCGAAGTCCAATAGACTTTCTGCTCACCAAAGAACAATCTTTATACTTGCTGAATTATTTGTTTATTTTTATTTCAGGCCCAAAGTACTTATGTCTCTGTATTGTCCATAAACTAATAAAATACAGCCACCTACAGCTTGTTAAATAAAACAGGGGAGATAATACCATGTCTTCCTGCTCCAGCCAATATTCTCACTTGAATATTTACAGACAGTATTCATTTTACTCATTTTCTAGTGTTCTTCATTTCTTTTCTTCCCTGTGTTTGTCACAGGGAACCAGGTACGCAGGACTGAACTCCAGCAGGATCATATTGTATCACTGAATATCTACTGAAAACTGGTTTAACTAAAAATTAGCTTTTTGCTACAATACTTCTAACAAGAAATGAAGACAGGAAAATAAAAACTAACCACTTTTTCTTCTGTCCCTATAGTCCTAGTTAGGGAGATGTTCTGAAAAAAAAAAAAGTCTGCTATGGTAAGTTTTCCTGGCAATGCAGTGATTTGTTGACTATCTTATGAAGAACATGAAAAATTCACAAAGGGGCCAAAAACAAGGAGCAAAAGTCAGAAAATCACAAATAATGTTTTTTGTATTTAAATCTTTTGCCTTTTGGTAGACTTTACATCTGGGATCTCTGACTTTTTTTTCTATTAACAATGCTCTATAGTTCTCAACCTTTTTTGTATCAGGATCCATTTGTAAACATTGATGGCCAGCCCCAACCCAGTACCCTTCACTCTCCACCCCCAGCCCTGCAGTGTGTGAGGCAGAGGGTGGGTGTGTGGGGCAGGGTGGGGTGTGTGGAGGTGGTGGGGAGGGATGCCTGCAAGGGAAAAGCCACGGCTTCCCACGGTTTTCTCCTTCAAAGGACAATGCATTTTTAAGGTTTGTTTGCGACCCTTTCATATATTCTTGCAACCCGCTTTTGGGTTCCGGCCCATGGGTTGAGAAACACGGATCTATGAGATGCAATATATGAAACGAGACTGAAGGAAACCATTTCAGGAGAGAATTACCAGTAGATAAATCCTGAGATCCTAAGGAAACATTATTTAGTTAAGCCTATCTAAACAAAAGCTAGGGCTTTTGGGTGTTTCTTTTTGGTTTTGTGTATTAGGAATTCCTGGATTGCAACCAAAAAGTCTCTCTTTTTGGGGTGGAAACTGAGTTTCCATTCACAGCTTGGAAGGAGAGAATATTTGTATATCGTGTTGAACAGTGGTTCTCAACTTTCCTTTTTGGACTGGGACCCATTTGTAAACATAGATGGCCAGTTCCCATCCAGTACTGCTCATTGTGGACACGCCGCCCTCCCATCCCCAGGCCTTGACCCCCCGTGCGTGGGGCACGCTGGGCACCAAGCAGCCCCCTGGCAGCTGGAGCTCTGCCAGCCTGCAAGGGAAAAGCCACTTTCCCCCATGTTTTTCTCCTTTCAAGGAAAATCCATTTTTAAAATCTGTGGATCCATTTTTAAAGTTTGTACACCCCCCTGAAATCTGTTCTTGCAGCCCGCTTTTGGGTTGCAGCCCACTGGTTGAGAAATGCCGCCGTAGAAAATAGCAATCAAAACACACCGGAATTAAAAAAAGGAAGTAAAATCAAAGAATGAGGTTTGTGCGCAGCTGAAGGATTTCTACTTTCTTACACTGAAACCCCGGAGGACAAACAGATCCCTGGGTTTCTGAACCGTTTCTGTATGTCGAGGTGGAGTTTGGAGCAGGCCGGGGGCCGCCAAAACTACACAAGTTTGCTGTTGGGTCTTGTGGAGAAATAGCCAAGCGAACTGTGGCGCTATCATCGGCCACTGGAGGGAGTCTGGGCGCTTTCAAACAGTTTAAAATCGCAGGGAAAACCTGAGAGAGGCTAAGGAGGTGGGGGGAGCACGACGCCGACGGGGCCTGGAGCGGCGGTACACGCACCGGGGTGGGCAGCCCTGTCCAGAGGAGCAGCTGAGGGGGCGCGTGGACGTGGGTGTGCCGAGGCCCCGGGCATGATGCGGGAGAAGCATCACTCAGTGCGGTGCCTGCGGACAGGATCCTCGCGAGCTCTTCCAGGGGCTGCTGCGAGCTCGGGCGCGGGCACCAGAGCCCCTCGCACCGTCGCCCTAGGGCTGCTCCCCGTCTCCAGGGCTGCGGGCCCGCGGCCCTCCTCCCGCGAGGTGGGGCCGCCTGAAGGAGTAATCTTCGCGCCCCCCCCCCGCCTGCAGCAGCCGAGGGGTCGGGAGCACCTCGCTCTGCCGCATTAAGCCCCAGCTCTGCAGGCTCCAGCCTTTTTCTGCTTGCTCATCTCCCAGCGAGCCGGGTGCGCCCTTAGGAGAAGCCACGGCCCGGGATTAACTAAACCGAAGCAGCCTCCCGGCCCGCACGTGCGCCGGGGGGCTGCTCCGGCCTCCCAGTCATGCTCCCGGCACATCGCGGGGCGGGGGACGGGCACACCTGAGCGGAAAGGGAGCTCGTGCGCGTGTTTTTTTTTCCCCGCGGTACAAGCGCGCAGGGAGCGTGCGTGCTCTTTGCACAGCGGAACGACACCACGGGCCGCAGGCAGCGCCGCCACTCACCTTGCCCCTCCACTCGGCGTTTTGGCGCGGGGGGGCGGGGCGAGCGCGGAGGACACGCCCCCGTCTGGCGCCGCGAGCCAATGGGGTGGGAGCCTAGGGGGGAAAACCGGCCGGGGGAGCGAGCCGTGAGCAAACAGTGCGCTGCGCCCTCGCCCCCCAACCCCCAGCAGGAGGGGGCGTGACTGCTTCCAGATTTGTGTTATTATTTCTATTCCCCCTCCCCCCAACGAGCCATTTTTTTTCTTTCTTTTTGCAAAAACCCGCCTCGTGCCCGCCCTCCCTTCCTAGCCGCCCGCCGCCGCCGCCGGGAACTTCATCGATCCGGCTCCGGAGGGGAAACCAGCGGCGAAGGGTGTGTTCCCGGCCGCCCCCTCCTCCGCCTCCTCCTCCTCTCTGATGTAGCGCCCGCTTCTCCCCTCCCTCTTCTCGCCAACTGTTTCCTCCTCCTCCTGCCTCACAACTTGCTGCTCCGGGCACCGGGCGCAGGGGGAGGAGGAGGAGGAGGAGGAGGAGGAGGCTGCGGCTCGGCTCCGACCTGCCGCGCCCGCCCGGCCAGAGCAGCAGCGCCGCGACCTGCCGGGAAGCCGCCGCCGCCGCCTCCGGGGAGCCGCCTGCA